TACAAAGTATTCTGAAGGTTGTTCAATATATATATATATATATATATATATATATATAAAACCACTGTTGCTCTGTAGTGACTCATGAAGGACGAGTGCTTATTAACTGATGGCTTTGTTTAGTTGAACAATAGCTCATCTTTACTTTCACTGCCAGACCCCTTTTGCCACTGTGAGAACTATAAACACAAAGGTTACACTTTAAAAATTACTAGGAGTGTGTATATTTCACACGTAGCATACACGCAGGTAAGCGGCATTAGCATGAAGCTACACTTAGCGTTGATAATGCATCTCATTGCCACATTGCTAGAAGATGAATTCTTTACTGCAACATTTGTTGTGACACATCTTTATAGAGACATAAACAAAAATATCTCACACACACACACAAACCGCTGATCTGATATCTTCCTCATCAGCACTCCACTTGCCTAAACTTACAATAAGTCGTCAGTACTTCGCTCAGTCTCTGCTTACTGTTATTATTGACAGTACTACTATTGACCCCCAAAATTGGTGTATATAGATCATAGGCTGCCCTGATTTTTAAAGATGGGTATTTGACATAGAAAAAACAAAATCAGTCCAACTCTATTCAGTACAGCTACACTTGCATAGCAACACAGGCGTTGTTTAGTTGACAAACAATAAAAAAACGGAACATGTGATGTAATGCAAATTTTTGGCGTATATATTTTTATTTTACATTGGTATGGCATTTTTGAGAAATTATGAAAGGGGCCCTAGTTTGGCTAACTGTTAGCCTAGCCTGAAAGACTTCTACCCTTTTCTTCATGATCCAAGCTCTGAAACTGCTAAGAAGAAACTAATTATTGACAACTATTTGAAACAACATGACTTTAAAATGGCCATACTATTTCTTTAACTTGAGGCCTGTGTTGATTTATTCACTTTCCAACAGCGTTCTTCTCAGTGCAAATTCCGAACCCAGTATCAACATAGAAGATCCAGTCAGTGATGACTTCTTCGGGATTTGGAACAAAACTGCCAAACTTAACACCAACATTTATGAACAGGTATAAATTTTAACCGATTGCACATCTTTATCACCATTGCTGTTGGTTTTCACACCTCTCTTCTCTTTGTTTTTTGCTCCTCTGCTGTGCGACTTTGCTTTCATCACAGGTCTTTAAGTGCCTTCCCTGCGACACTGTTCAAAACATGCAGCAGCTGAACGAGTATTCCAGCCAGCAGCCCCTTTGTGACACAAACTTGGAGAAGGCAGAAGAGGAGCTGAGAGCAGTTCGAGGGCTGCTGGTCCACTTTCCTCTGAAGTTCTTGTCTGGGGAAACGTTGCTGCCTCCATCAACTTCGAAAGAAGGCATGGCTCCCTTAACACTCTGGACATAAGCTCTGTTAACTGCTTTTTACAAATATGGCAGCAACCCGATGCTTTTAGACATGCGGACGTGGTGAAGACGACTTGCTGAAGTTCAAACCAAGTGTAGTGGACTAGGCCTGATGTCGAAACCTTGACCTTAGGCACCTTGTGGGACAGAAACTGTCATTTCATTGATTTGCGGGCCACCAGATGTAGAGTAACATATGCATGATATATTCATAAATTAAACGAGTTCTTTCATTTTTCTGGACTGTATATAACGTGCATTGAATTTAATAAAATGTATCGTGAGACGTTATTTATCTTTGACCCATCAAAATGAATGTGGTCATTTATTTACAGAATCAAAGTTTAACATCAAACATTTACATCAATTTGGCACATTGAAAAATAACAACATGGCTAATTTAGCGAGCTATACAAGTGATTGATTATCCACACGGCGGTGGATGAGCACTTTACACAGACATTTCTAAAATATCTGGAATGATTTCTACTTGATAGAAGAATTTAAAGATGGAAAATGAAGTTTAAAGGGAGTAAAAGATGGTGTGTGAGGGAGAGTGTTGACCAGAAACGACACTCTCCATTCAAACCCAGCTTTCCTCGGTACGCTCGGTAGTGAACTTGACTCGTTACCTCTCTGAAGATGAATCAGCGGATACGGAGTTCCAGTTAACGCTACCTGTCCAGCGTCTCCATAGGATGGCTGTGACTCGTCCGAAGTAGTGACGATATTCCGTCTGACACAAGTTCACCTCAGCCAGTGGACCTCACATGAGTGGGGTTCGTCCGAGTTCCACTCAGAGGTGGAAGATGTTATAATCCCAATCTCGGAAGAGCCTTATCATGGCTGGACTTCTGTTCTCCCAAACGACTGGAGCTGCAAACTCTCCAGCCCGACTCCAACGGCAACTCACAGAAACAGATATGAGAGAACTAGGAAGTACAGACATTTTAAAGGGCTCTATTTCCGGTTCATTTGGGAGTTTTCTTATTGGTCAATGTCGACCAGACAGGGGTGTGTTTTGTGACGTAAAAGGTTACTAGAAGTCAGAAAACAGCAAGAATGTTATGGAACAGATTGAAACTGTTTTTCAGACAGGCGAGAGAAATGTTTGGGCGAGTTTGGAGAAACAGGTGCCAACTTCTCTGTTTACGTCTGAGAGGATTTAAAAACAAGACAGTTGTTCCAACACTTGTCTGCTTCGGCTCAGACCTTGGAACAAACGTACACTGCTCATTCAAAGACAGAAAATCAGAAAATGCATAATTACTCTGTAACAGGCCTTAACATGAATTCTAACTTTGCATGAGGATTAAAAAATAATCATTGTTACTGTTTTCACAGTTAATAAAAATTGATTAGTTCACTGTAACATCTAAAATGTTTGAACTAAAACACTTTGATTATCAAACATTTGTAAAACAGTAATGATAATAGAAAAGAGAGTGTTCTTTCACTTGAATTTTCAAGAAAGAAAGTCTCAGGATGGGTGAACCTGTATTTCTGGATTCAAATCAATGAAATGACAGTTTCTGTCCCACAAGGTGCCTAAGGTCAAGGTTTCGACATCAGGCCTAGTCCACTACACAAGCATGAGAATGGATAAGGGCATTTAAATGACTTTAAACATGGCATGGTTGTTGGTGCCAGTCTGACTGGTCCAAAGACTACAGAAACTGCTCATCTACTGGGATTGTCATGCACAACCATTTCTAGGGTTGACAGAGAACAGTCCAAATTGGATCCAGTGAGTGGCATTTGTGTGGACAAAAAAAGCCTTGTTAATTTCATAGTTCAGAAGAAAATGGATAGACAGGTTTGAGCTGACAAAATATAACAGTATCTCAAATAACCACTCACTACATTCATTCATTCAACCTTTATTTAGACAAGTTAATCCCACTGAGCCTCGGGGACTCATTTTCAAGGGAGACCCGATTTCAACAAAGAATGATGAAAACAATGAACAGCGACAACAATAGACAGTTATAAAAGAGGCATACAGATTTATTTTTTATTTTTTACAAATTAAAATAAGATGGCAAAACAGTAGCAAAAACAGCTAGATGATAAGGTGAATGTAGAAAACTAAAAACAGGAACATGTCTGCATTGGTCCTTGACAGGAGGCCAACAGATTCTTAAAGCCACTTAGAGAGGTCAAGGTCGAGAGCTTCAAGTCTTTTTGCAAGATATTCTAGGAAATAGGAGCGGAGTAGAAGGCCCTTTTGCCAAGTTCACTCCGCACTGAGGGAACACTGCAGGTAATAATGTCCTGAGAGCAATGTTAGTTAGCAGGTAATAATGTCCTGAGAACTACAGCAAAGGTCTTCAGAATACCATCTCTGAACTCACATCAACCTCAAAGCAGATGGACCACAACAACAGAAGACCACATCGGGTGCCACTCCTGTTAGATAAGAACAGGAAACTGGGCCTACATTTTGGATGGGCTCACCAAAATTGGACAATAAAGAGATTGGAAGATTGGATAAGTCTGAATTCATTGAGCTCCAATGACCTCCACAGCCACCAGATCTCAGTCCAGTTGAGCACCTTTGGGATGTGGAAGAACCGAACATTCATGTTGTGCAGAAGCAGCTGACAATCCTGCAGCAACTATCATGACACTAACGTCAATATTGCCCAAAATCTCTCAGGAATGTTTTGTTGAATCAATGCCACAAAGAACTAAGACAGTTCTGAAGGCAGAGGTGGTTCAACCTGGTATTGGCAAAATGTTATAAAGTAGCAAATTAGTAAATTAAATGTTATCCCAGAAATTCTGCAAAAATTAAAGGTGTTGCAGTCTTTGAAGGGATGCATGTGCCTGACAACTTGCAGGGCAAACTGCTTGGATTATGTAATGGAAATAACTCTCAGCTACCCTTTAATCCTTATAGTACGCCGTTCATGGTCGTGAAAGATTGCTGATATGGTAGGACAATAAATGGACAAATAGATGTTTGAGAGTTTGTTTCCTCATAATCTCAGCAGGGCTGATCGTTGTGTAAACCTCACTTAAATAAAAGTGCGACTCGGGAGAGAAATGTAAGGTTGTATTTGGAAAAGCAGCACCTCACATGATCTGGGAACATACTGTACATTTATTGGTGCAGGGTTTTTGGTCGGGTGGGCGGCTCTGTCTCTTTCTCTCCCCGTCTCCCTCTGAGGCTTCACCTCACTGCAGCGCCAGAGAACCTGTCAGAACATTTGTGGTTGTTATGGTGACGGTTATAAAGAGATGATTGGATGGCAGCTGAAATAAAGACTCAACGGGGCAGAAAAGGAGAGAGCGCTCGTACGAGTGGTGACCAAACCCGGACGGTTTCACCAGAATACAGAAACTGATCCGACAGCAGGAAGACTGACCGTTCCTGTGGAAGTTATTTTCATGTTTTCACCTAGAGGAAATGTGAGAAAACAAAAAATAAAGTGGGACAAGATAATTAAAGGCTGCTAGGCTGATCTACTGCTAGTTTTTAGATGTTTTCTACATCTCCATGACAACCAAGTGGATAGTCTTTTCACCGTGTTGTCAGCAGTCCAGTACAGATCACTCCACTGACTGTGCAGCTATTTCCACGTTGTGCTGAGGAGCCATGAAGTGTCTCGTGTGTCTGCCTTATGTTATATTTGCTCACAGGCATGAAGCGTTTGTTGATGTCCAGCTGAGAGGTGATATAATGTCTGACACAGTTCCCACTGACTGCTGAAACTGTCAGCCGGGGGCAAGAGCAAAGGATTTCAGGAGGTTTTTATTTTTATTTTTTTTGCTTGTTTTTATCAACAACCATCATGAAGGACAAGTAGTCATGTTGATATCTGTATATTTTTCAGTCAGATGGTAAAACATCTAGATGAAATGACTATAGATGGATTCTAAAGAAATTCTCAAAAAGAAGTCACTGAAGCTACAAATACACCTCATTAACATTTGAAGTCAACCTGACTCAGGATGGCCACCAAAACCAACTGGAAATAGCAAATAGAGATATTGTTATAACTCAGTCAGTTTTAAAGATATTGAGAGGAATTTGGTTTAATAGGAGCTGAGAGTTGTCCCAATCACATAGGCATAATTATCACAGTCCAACTCTTTTTTTCTCTCTCTCTCTCTTCCTTTTAGTAATGCTTTTATATTTTTTAATCTTGTTTTGAATGTACATTTTTATCCTGTTTTTATGAATTTTGTCATGTGTAAAGTTTGTATGAATGTGCTGGCTGTCATCATCACCACTACCTACTGTAAATGAATTGCCCTTCGGGACCTAATAAAATAAAGTGAAAGTGAAGAGAGTGATAACAGATCTTACACGATCCATTAGTTTACAAATTTAGCATATAAGTTGGTGCGCAATATGCATTTAATGTAAGTACTCAATTATATGATATGGAATAATATTGTGTATTTTGGCAAGTGTTTACGTGAAGCCAAGGTGACAAAGATGAGGGAGGGAATTTTTTTCCTCTGTCAAAAAAAAAGAAGCTTCCTTTCATAAATTGGGTTGCCATGTCAAAATTCAAGATGGCTGCTGCCAGTTAAAGTAGAATCAGAATCAGAATAAGCTTTATTATCATTGTACCAGGATACAGCAAGCACATTTATAAACAAGATTACATATGTATTTGACATTAAGACATTGGGATTTGTCCATGAGCCCTTTCAGATAGGACACAGTCCTGCTGTTGTTGTTCAGCCGGCAAACGGGGGAGTCAGATTCAGATAAGCCACAACTGTTGATTTTCTTCTGGCAGACCTTGAGTCCTGCTGGAACTTTCCTGATCCAAAATGGCCAGCTTAATGGGTATTCTACTCCACTGATCTGTGTTCTGAGCCCTCTTCAAGGTTAATCCCATCATGCTGGCGAGTTCTAGAAGCCGCAGGTGGCCTGCAATTTTCACAAATTGCCTCCATCTTGCGGTTTAGCTCATAAATCAGCTGATTTTGAGTACTCATAGCACAAACAAAACCTTCACACAGACTTGGAAGCTTTGCCAT